GGTCATAACCCGAAAAGTTCGTTAGTAGAGGCGTTCGTATCCCGAGGTACCACTGTATATAATATATACATAAGATTGTTTTTTTGGAATAAAAAATAGCCAATGTAACAGCTTTTTTAATAGATTCAAGAAGTAGCTCAGCGATCAAGCAAATAACAAGTTTAGTGGGGGAGTTCTTTAGGACAAGTCAAGGGAGATGGCCATTTTTTAAAATTGTTTTTGTTCATAGAGATAGAGGGCATTGCTCTTAGGAGCTGCAGGGAATATGCTATGTTTGTTTTCCTGCCCAAAGATGACAAAAACTATGCATGCTACAAGTGCAGTCCGAATGCCTTCTGGAAGAGAAGCTTAAAGGGCTAAAGACAAAGTCCAGTTTCCAGCTGATCAATGAAGATGGGGAATTCTTGAATTGGATACAGGGAGTGCTTGTAGAGAGATAACAGCACTAGAAAGCCTCCAAGATTAAAACATGCCAAACTGTGGAGAGAGAGAGAGGAATCTGACACAAAGGCCTGAGTCTGTCGAGTGAGCTTGTTATATTCTAGAGCTTCAGAATTATTTCCAAAATCTCATTGTTGATGATGTTTCTTTACCCTTTGATGAAAAGCATCTGCTAGAAGCCTCAGAGACTGGGGAAGGCAACTGTACACACTTTGCAATGGGAGTAATTCTTGCCCATGCATGAAGAGGTGGCTCCATTGTTATTAACATCTACTGTTTTCTCTTAGCCTTGTGTTAAAGTAAATAACAACAACAACAACTGTTTTTATATATTAATTGTTTTTTAGTCTTGTTGTATGCTGCCCAGAGTCACTTGTTTGTGAGATGGGTGGCCATATAAATTTGATGAATAAATAAATAAATAAGAGAGGAAGTAATGAATGGTGGTGATCAGACACTCTCTACTACCAGGGACTGAAGCAGCAATCTTGGCCAGACCATTTATCAAGAAAAGTTGTGTAACTTTCCTGGGGCATGAATTTGGAATATGACTAAAATATACCCAAGATTCTTAAATCCTACTGAAGATACCCCTGTCTACAAATGTTCATGGGAACAAATTGCACAGGAAAATGCAAACGTGAAGACATTGCAAGGCAGAGTGCCGGGCAGGAGAGTGAAGTTGCTGGAGGGTCACAGGTGGTGGTTTCTTCACACCTTTCTGTTGAAGGATATGGTCCAGGAAAAGAGAGAATACTGGAAGTAATCACTGGCCCATGGTGCCAATGGGAACAGGTTGAATTCTTTGAAAGTGGGACATTACCAAGATGGTCAGTGCCTCCCCAAAACTGGAAAATATGACTGGAAGGTGTCTTGTAAGTTTGATCCAGCAGGCTTTCAACTGAATTCTATGTGGAAGGGAGAAGGGATCTGAAAAATAATGTTATGTGAAGTACTAGGAACCAGACAGAGGTGTATTCAGGATGTGAGGACAACAACTAAGCATGTAAATATAGGAAAGAATAAGTCAAGCTATTTGAGTGAAAGTTTCCATGGTTTCCATACAAAGGCATAGCATATGGAGAGCAAACAGGAAGTAGTAGAAATCCTAATTCAGGAAGGCAAATACGATTTATTAGGTTTACTGAAACCTAGTAGGACAAAATGTATAAGTAGAATGCCAGAATTGAAAGGTATCACTTATTCAAAAGGAATAGGCCTGGGAAAAGGTGAAGAGAAGGTCATTGTATATGAAGGAAGTGCACACATGTCTTGCAATCAAGGAATTTGACTGTGAAGTGAAGAACATTTGAGCAGGTCAAGAGCATTTGAGTAAGAATGCAAGGGAGTAGTAATAACAAATATATTATTGTGGGGATGCTATAGATTCCCAAGGCAGAAGATCTGGATAATGCTCTTCAAGAGTCATTTTACAGAACTATCAGGGAAGAAAGACATAGTATTAATGGGAGACTGTATGTATGTGTACATCTGTTTGAAAAAAAACTTGGGGAAGACCACTCAAATTCCTCAGTTATCTTGCTGATTGTTTTGTTTTCCAAAAAGTCAAAGAAGTGACAGTGGGATCTGATATTAACCAACAAGGAAAAGTTGGATGAAGAGATAAAAATGGTGGGAACAAAAGAAGTTAGGATTGAGGGGGTTGGCTATGTTGGTAGTAAAAGGAAGAAAAAGGAAATGAGTTCAATTCTTGGAGAAGGTGTTAGAGTAATAACAGGATATAAGGAGAAGGCAGAGCTACTCAACCCCAACTTGTTTTAGTCTTCCCAAAAAGGAACCGTATACAAATGGACCTAACAATTGATTAAGGAAGTGACAACCCAAGGTAAGAAGCAAATGGTTAGGAAGCACCAAGCTGTTATAAATGATTTTAAGTCTCCAGATCAGACTAGTTACATCTGAGAGCCTTGAAAGATCTTGCAGGCATCATTTTGGATCACTTTTGGCAAAAGGATCCCTTTTGAAAAATCATGGAGCAGGGTATAGTGTTAGAGAATTGGAGAAGGGTAAATGTTGTTCCTATTTTCAAAGGGAAAAAAGAGATTCTGAATAACTATAGACTGGGCCAATTAATTATTGAACAGTTTCTTAGCATTTAGAAAAGAATACATTGCTTGGTAGGAGCCAGCATGGATTTATCAAGAGCAAGTCATGCCAAAGCAACCTGATTTCCTTTCTTGATAGAATGACCAATTTAGTTGACTGTGGGAATGAGGTGGACTTATTGTACTTGTTTTTTTCAATAATTTTATTAAGATTTTAAAAAGAACAATAAAAGATAATACAAAGGAAAAGAAAAAAAAATGAATACAAAAAAATCCCCCTTTTTAAGAAAACAGCTTCCTACTCTCATCACACAGTAAGTAATAATTTCATAATTTCTTCAACCCTCTTAATTAAGAAATATAAAACTCTTCATCCCATACCCCATCTCTTAGTAATAAACAAATCAGATAAGTAACATTTTCTCCTTATCCAATTGTCAGCAAAAAGTCCAGAGCTCTAAAATATTAACATTACTTAACAAATATAAAACTCAGCGTTCCATGCCTTAACTGTAAGCAACCCCCCTTTTAAAAGGTATAAAAAATTATAATCAAACCCAACCTAAAGTTTAACGTAACAAAAAGAGATAATTTTTCCTTTAAAAAACCAACAAACTCCAAAGTACAACCCATTCCAAATGCCAACAATTCCAAAGATAACCGCTCCAATAACAACCTATCCCATTCAAATAAACATTCCATATCTCAACTCTAAATATAATGTAAATATATTTATATCACAAATATAAAGTAATCCCAGCATCCTAATACAAAAAAAAAAAAAGACTAACAAAAAGAGGTAATTTCTCCTAAAAAAAAATTCACACAATTAGATGTTAAACATTTAGATATTAAACACTTCATATACAGAAAATAGCTATAAAGAATTTAAACACCAAATAAGCAAATCCAATATATCACATTTTTATAGTCAAAATATCAGTAAATTCAAAAAGAACCACCCAGAGTAATAAAATGGCCCATTTTAACCCTAGTCAAATAAGCCAGTTTTATATTCCTTTTTTTTCAGGCAGAACAATCTTTCTCTGTAATCCATTCTAGTAGTTGTTGATCCTTATTACGAATTTCTTCCATTCTTTAAGCAGTCCCTTGTAAATCCAACAAAAAAGAATTATTCTATTACTCTCTGGGATTGTCTTTTTTATTTCCTTCTTAATTTTTAAAAACTCATACATTTTTCTCTTTGCATCTGATGGCATTTTTGTATCCAAAGTTTCATTCATATTATTCTCAAATGGAATTTGTTGTATATCTTGTTCTATAACATCTTGTTCTGAAGACAAACTGTTCCCAGAAAGACACAGCATAGCTGCCATAATTGATTCAAAGTCTTGACACAGTCCTTGGTGGAGTTCCTCGAAGATACCTCTAAATGCCACGATAATTTATTTCCCACACATGCATTTATTCTTTAAAAATAATTTCAAAGTGTTAATATTCAAAGTTCAACCAATGTTTTCTGAGCCCTTAATCTTTTAAAAACTTTCTGTAGCCAAAACCTTGTCTTGTTTTTTGCTGTTTATTTTAAATTCTTAAAAGTTATAAAAAATAAATCTTCATTTATTTTCTTGTATTAATGTTTGGAGGTACTCATTCACAGGGTATTTTCAGCCTTGTCCCTTTGAAGGTGTGTAACTTCATTAAAGTTGTTAATAAGCAATTTCTGAAGGTAGTTAACAAGGGAATTCCAAGGGAAGTGCACAAACTTAGTGTCCTTTGAAAGGCTCCGTTTGTGGCTAGAGCAAATATGGCAAATTCCTCCATCTCCAGGTTCCCCACCCCTCCTAGAGATCGCTGTCTTGTGGTCTCTTCATGAGGAAAAGGAACAACAATAAGAAGAAACAGCTTGGGCAATCTTGCGTCTTTCTCTTTTATCCAGAGAGGATCAAAGGAGCAAATCTGCTAACCGGCTCTTTAAAAAAAGTTCGCAAATGTCGGCTCTGCTTTTTTGCAGAGCCATCTTCAGTCAGCCATCTTCCCCAGAAGAAATCATAAAGCCAACTTTTTGTACCTATCTTCAACAAAGTATTCATGAGTCATGAGTCAACAGAGTCGTGAGATTCTGGTACAGAAATATATGGGCTGAACTGTAATAGCATTAAATAGTGAGCTGGTTGAACAATTTCATCCACCAAATGTACATCAGTGGCTCTGCATCAAGCTGGAAGGAAGTGTTGAGTGATGTAAAGCAGGTATCTGTTTTAGGCCCTGTTCTTTTCTTTTCTTTTCTTTTCTTTTCTTTTCTTTTCTTTTCTTTTCTTTTCTTTTCTTTTCTTTTCTTTTCTTTTCTTTTCTTTTCTTTTCTTTTCTTTTCTCTATCTATCTATCTATCTATCTATCTATCTATCTATCTATCAATTAAATTTGTATGCCGCCCATCTCCCCCCATATTAATGTAAATGTATTAATATACTTGTAAATGACTTAGATAAAAGGTCAAAATATATGATTATCAATTTAGCAGACAACACAAAGATAGGGGAGATAACAAACATCTTAGAGGACAATATAAAGATTCAGGAGGAGCTAACTAAACTGTAAGAAGGGCCAAAAACAATTCAACAAGGACAAATACAAAATCATATATTGTGGGTAGAAAAAATCAAAGGTATAAGTATAGGATGTGAGTCATATTGTCTTGATGGATTATAAGCTCTATGTGAGCCAATAGCAGTTGCAAAAAAAGCAAATGCAGTCCTAGGCTGCATCAGTCAAAGCATAGTGTCATGATGAGGATAAGTCACTGTTTCTTCCTTTTCTTTGTTGGTTAGACTGCATCTAGCATATTGCATCTAGTTCTGGACGCTGCATTTTAGGAAGGACATTTACTAACTGGAGTGTATCCGGAGTAGAACAACCAAGGTGATGAGGGGCCTGGAAGGAAAAACATGAAGAATGGCTAGAGGCATTGGGATCATTAACCTGGAGAAGAAAAGACTGAGGAGACATGATAGTTTTTTCAAGCATCCAAAGAGTTGTCAGATAGAAGAAAGGGTAGCATTGTTAAAGTTATTCCAAAAGATAGGACATGGAAAAAATGGCTTTAAATTAAAAGGATGTAGATTTCAGTTGAATATTATGAAAAATTGTCTAAGGGCTGTTTAACCATGAAAAAGATTGCCTGGGGAGAGGTGGCTCTTCTTTGGTGGAGATGTTTAAAGAGGCTGGATCTGTCAAGGATGCTATACTTGTGGTTCTTCAGTTGGGAAGAAGTTGGACTAGATAATCATCAGTATCCTTTCCAACCTTTGTATTCTGTGATACTGTAAGTAACTAAGAATTGCAGGAAACTCTAGACCAGTTGGCTTAATATCAGTTCAGAGCTGATTGACAGAAAACATTATTAAAAATAATATGATTACCTATATAGAAGATTAAATCTTACTGACAGTGTTTGGAGTGCTTTAGTTTAGAAAATATTGAGCAAGGGGGTAGAAAAGTTATATAAAATTATGTATATTTTACAATAAGAAATGTCTTCCTTTCTAGTATCTGTTAAACCCTGGGATACCTAATGAACCAAAATGGTGGGATTTTTAGGATAGGAAAAAGGAAGAGTTAAACTTTTGAATTTGTTTCCATAATTAGTGATAGCTGCCAATTTGGATGGTATAAAATGGAGATTAATAAAATGAATAGAAAATAAGGTTATCAATGCCTTTATTTATTAAACTTGTATGCCACCCAACTTTCAACAACTCTGGACAGCTAGCAATAATCAAACAAAGAAATTACAATAAAATCAATAAAAGATAAAAGATGGCAAGCATGATGAAGCGAGGGGTCTCACTCTTCCTCACTAAAAGGCCTGGGTGAAGAGCCAGGTATTAATAGCTCTTCTAAGCCACAGCAGAGTGTGGACCATCTGGATCTTGGGGGGAGCCTTGTTCCAGAAGGCAGGCCCTGCTACATAGAAGGCACACTTCTGGGATCCCAATAGATGACGTTCATCTACAGCTAATAATGACAATATATTACATTCCCAAATACCAGTTGCTGTTATCACAAGTAGAAATGTTTATGCATGTCCTGCTTGGGGCTTCCCATAACATTCATACTGGAGCAACAGGCCTTTGGCACAACTCAGAAAGGCAAGTCTGTTGTTAAAACAAGTTATTTAGGTATGAGATTACAGTACAGTTAGTGCTGTTTTTTATACACTCTTCAAAAGGAAATTACAGAATTGACTTTTGTAGTAGGTTTTGCAGTTGAAATAATCATATTTTTGTTTGTTTCTGCCGAACAGAGACCTCTGCTGAACCTTCTCTTCAGGCCAAGCAGTTGAAGTTGAAGCGGGCTAGATTGGCTGATGATCTCAATGAGAAGATTGCCCAGAGACCGGGCCCCATGGAATTGGTAGAGAAAAACATTCTGCCTGTAGAATCTAGCTTGAAGGAAGCTCTCATTGGTAAGCCTGCTGATAAGAGGAATCTTCGTATATGGATAAAACAGCAGCTTTTTTAAATATCCCTTTTTTAAACTAAGGAAAGCAGGATATACTTGTTACTTTGTGTAACCAATATAATGACTTCAGGTGGAACTTTTGTGAGCAAGTTTACAGGAAACACTATAAGCAGAAATGTAGTTGGCATCTAAGACTGAAGAGATGCTGTACAATAGTTATTTTCCTCTGGCATTGTATTCTGTTTTCTTGTAGTCATAATCAAGAGGAACTCTAAGTGGGTGGTGGAGAGTAGCAATAAATACAGAGGAGTTGATGTAGGACAAGGAGACAAGTGCAGAAATATTTTATGAATATAGATACAATGTATGGATGAAAGCATAAGCATTAAAAAAAATGAGTCAGGCCTCACAGAGCATATAGGACCTGTCTCTGACTCAGTCAGCTTAAAGACTTTTGTGGGTCACTGTCTGATTCTTGGTCATTTTGAAAGAGTTAATTTTTTGAAACTTGTAAACTTGTAAGATTGTACATATGTTTTTCTGGATTTATTTTACTTTTACAAAACATAGCACTTTCTTGATGTTTTAAGTTATTTTAAAAAAATCTCCCGTGTTCTTTATTGTGTTCAGAATTAGACTTTGCTATTTGTTAACTCTTTGTGACAAGTCCTGGTCAGTTGGTGGTGATAATAGCATATATACTATGCATAAGAGCTGTCTAAAGTTCCTCTGCTTTTCACCATCTCCAGTTTCATAGAGGTCCAGAAATCTGCTGGTTACCATTGGCCTATACCATCTGTTTTCAATTAATGAACTTGGCATTTGTTGTTTTTAGTAGGTCAAGTGAACTATCCTAAGGTAGCAGATAATTCCTCCTTCGATGAGGACAGCAGTGATGCCCTGTCTCCAGAACAACCGACTAGCCATGAATCCCAGGGTTCTGTGCCATCCCCAATGGAAGCGCAAATTAGTGATTCACTTCCTATCCCCACAGTGGCATCCCCTGCTCAGGTGAGGATGTTGTGTTAGCTCTTGTTGAACTTTATGATCTTAGGAGCTCAGGCAAGAAAGGTATTTTCCTTGGAGGAAAAGAATGTCATGCGAATTTCATGGGAATTTGTGTTTATTAGCAACAAAACACATATCTGGATCTTGAAATAGTATTAAGAACATTCACTATACTATTTTACTTTGTGGAAAAATACATTCATATTTTCCTCAAATGTTAATTTGAACATGGAAAGAACTAGACTCTCTTGCTGTATGGTGGGATTGATTCTGGAAATTGGCTTTGCTCACATGTTCGTGATTTCCAGTACACAACTGTAACTTGAGCAGTTGTCTGCCTTTCTGTGATATTGTAGCTGTTACCTGCTATCTGCATATTGTCTTCTGAAAGTTCATCTAGACATATTCATAGATAGATACATCTACTTTGCAGATTGTGTGCCAGTTAAAAATCAGCGCAGACTGCGCTGAGACAACTTACGTGTCTGAACAGCCACCAACCCCCTTGCCACAGCCACTACCTCCAGTGCCTCTGAATCTCACAAATGGAATTGCTCCTTCCGCTGCCAAACCTCTTCCAACCCTTATAAAGGTACCCTTTATGCTGGGGCTAAAGACTAATATCAGTAAACAAATGTATTCTGTCCAGGGTTTCCTTTAAGATCAGATGAGATACTGAGTAACTTTATCTTGATCAGGATCAAGAATCAACCTTTCAATGCCATTTTCAATTCTTTATTAAGTAACTAGTTAAGATAGTGATACATTAATATCCCGTTCTTTGCTAGTAGATTAGTATCATGCAGCTCATTAGATAATATATTTTTGATACAGTATGGAAATTATTTTGCTTAAGTACCCAGAGCTGATGGGATGTGTTTCCTCTGCTATAGCATTCCCTTTTTTCTGTGTCAGTTTGGAGTATGATGAAGTCTATGGAATGTTAACAGATAAATGGCCTGTATTTTATGTGTGTATAAAATACATAGAAATTTAATGAATATAAAACTATTTTATATTCATTAAAATATCATTAGTTGGTCTGAGGATTACCCATGCAGGTTTACTGCATTGTTGTAAAGTAATATAATTGGTAAGATTAGCATTATATTAATCAAAAGCTAACTACATTTTACTTTGTGTTTAATAGGTATACATTTATTAGGGCAGGTCAGTAGAATGAAGAAATTGTATGGAAAACATTAATCCAGTTAATCATTTCTCAGAGTGTCACTTATCATACCTCCATCCTAACCTGAACCACCTGTTTTTCTGACTTCAAATAGCAAAGCCAGCCAAAATCTTCATGTGAGAAGCCCCAGCGTAGCAAAAAATCCAAGGAGCCGAAACCAAAAGTCAAGAAGTTGAAATATCACCAGTATATTCCACCGGACCAAAAACAGGATAAAGGAGCTCCTCCCATGGATTCATCTTATGCCAAAATTCTGCAGCAACAGCAGCTCTTTTTGCAGCTCCAGATCCTTAATCAGCAGCAGCAACAGCACTACAACTATCAAACCATCCTACCAGCTCCACCAAAGTATGGGTTTCTTCTTATGATTTTTGAATTTTTATTTCTCAAGAGCTTAGTATCAACAGAGCTGAAGCTTAGTTCTCTGTCTGTCCAACTCCATAAAGGTATGGGATTTGTAGCATCAACTCACAATCCTGTCAATTGTAGGAGCCATATTTCTTCACATTCTAAATATGTTGACTTGATCTGGAGTGTAGCTTGCAAGTGTCAAAAATAGCTGCTTAAGTGAAAATGGTAAACATATTTGTAATAGTCAAGATGTCTTGTTAAGAGTCTAGTGACAGGAGTTTTGAAGTGTTTAAAAAATGTTTGGCAACATAATTTTGAGAAAGGCTTTCAGAGCCCCCCTGAAAATACAGTAATTTATATATTTAATTGGATATTTGTTTATTTGTTTCTCAGTTTTTGTAACCCACCACTATCTGCAGACTCTGGATTGCATACAACAGAATAACAATACAGAATGAATATAAAAAGATAATGGTTAATAGAAATTCCCCAGATGGCTGCTTTTCACAATTCAGTCCTGGTGAAAAGCATGATGGAATATCCAGTCCTTATATAGATCTCTTCATTTTGCAGCTTATTTCACTGTTTCTACCACAATCAAAACATAAACAGTGAAGAAAATATCTAAGGTTTTAATGATTTATCACAAAATACAGCCAAAAGCAAATACTAAACCAGCAGCAATGGTTTGCATTGTGCTTTATCTAAGTGCTTGACAACCTTACTGATAAATTTTACAAGCATCAGATTTGTTAGACCAGATCAAGGGCCAGTTCAGTCCAGCATCTTTCCCCCGCACAGTGAATGTTCAGCTTCCTCTGGGAAGTGTGCAGAGCCTGAAGACTAAGGTCCTGTTGCTAGTTGCTTGCAGCTGGCTGTTCAGCTCACTCTTTCGTTCCCCTTCAGGCCTCTAGGAGAACAGAACGGTAGCAGCACCCCAGCCATGCGTAGTCTTTCCACTGCTGCCAGTAACGCCTCTTCCATCTCTTCTGGTCCTAATGGGCTGTTGCGACAAAATGGCAGCTCTCCGGTGGGCAAACCTGGGGCTCTCCCGACTAATCTTGATGACATGAAGGTAACCAAGCATTTGTTAACTGCTTTGATTTTTTGAGAAGAAATATTAGGTATAAAATAAAAGTATAATTGACCTTATTGCAAAGATGCAGCAAAGCAGATATTTAAAGTTTAAGGAAATGCATCTCAGCTTCCAGCTTCTGGTGCGGTAGCTAGTGTAGCAGCTATAGAACAGGGAGGATAAAATATTACAAAATAGATCAGTATTGTAGATGAATAATGCCTAATGTTCTCCTCGAGGTTGAGGCACTGTAGCACTAAACATCTCAAGTTTGTATATCCAGAAGTCATCTTGTATTTGTATCATTGTTGGATCAGTTGTCATTGCTACAGTATTGCAACTGAGAAACCATTTCGGCTATAATTATCTGAACTGTGTTATTGCTAGTTCTGATAATTTTGGATCAGCTTTAAGATAATACAATTCCTAAATTTCTTGTTTATATCAGTTGTCCCTTTACCTAAATATAGAATATAACTACCTGGCTAGTTGTTTGTGGAATGTTATAAATTATAGTACAAGATCTTTATTTTGTTTCATTTAAATAGTATGCTGTCTTAGCCTTTAAAATTTGTTAACTGCTCTAATAAAGATGTGGTGTAAGTTATTTATTGCATCTTTAGTGGTTGGTGATAGTATCACTGAAACTGATGACTTTGATGCTGAGCATACATTTTATTTATTGGTGGGGGGCCTGTCTTTTAAAAGTGGGACTCTGGTGCTTATTGTTTTATGCCTTACAGCATGTGGCAGCCTTTCTGTTTAAAAAATATTAGAATTGAAAGGATACATCCACCAGGTTGTTGATTTATCTTCCAACTGTGATTTGATGTAGCCCTAATAAGTAAGTGTGTCTGTCTTAGCTTATACAACTTAGCTGATAGAATTCTAACTCTTTGATAGGTGGCAGAGCTAAAGCAAGAGTTGAAGTTAAGGGCATTGCCTGTTTCGGGTACCAAGACAGATCTAATTGAGCGGCTCAAGGCTTATCAAGAGCAGAATGGTACAACCAGCCGAGTAATCGCTGCTCCAAAGCCTAACACAGCAATTCTCCCGAAAACTACTGAAGTGGTGGTAGCTTTCCCAGCTGCTCGGCTGAGTACAGGGCCTACGCTGGTCAGTACAGGTCTTACTTCAGCAGAGGTGGTTGTCGCCACTGTCACAGGCAATGGTGTGATGAAGTTTGGGAGCACAGGCTCAACTCCTCCTGTGTCACCCACCCCCTCTGAACGCTCTCTTGTAAGTGCTGGAGATGAGAATTCAACCAGTGGAGATACCTTTGGGGAGATGGTGACTTCTCCCCTGACTCAGCTTACTCTGCAAGCATCACCAGTCCAATTTTTGGTAAAAGAGGAGAATTCCAAAGGTAACACTTGCAGTAGCACAAATGCAGTCTCAAAGGTGGAGTCCAGCATAATCAGTAGCAACAACAACAAAGACATGGAGGTCCAGGATAAAGACCAGATGCTGCAGGAGAAAGATAAGCAAATTGAGGAACTCACCCGGATGTTAAAACAGAAGCAGCAGCTGGTGGAGATGCTGAAGCTGCAGCTGGAGAAAGAAAAGAGAGCTCAGCAACCACTGTCAGCTATGGTTCTTGGAGATGAAGACAGAGCTACAGTCTGTGAGCCATCTATTTTTGGCACCCCTGTCAAGAATGAAAAGGGCTTTGCAAGTTGCCAGTCTATGGAGCAGCACAACTGCCAAATTGACCGGTTAAGATACACACAGTCCACCAGCCAAATGGACACATCAGATACTAATGTAGTGCCAAAGAAAGCAGTGATGGTGAAGCAGGAAGTGCTAGCTGCTGAAACTGAGCCACCATGTCAGACCTCATGTTTTTTCCTTGGACAGCAAGGTGGAGGCTTCAGTGATTTCATCAAGGGAGCTTCTCCTCCTACCCTCATCACAGATTCCACAGGCACTCACATAGTCCTCACTGTGACCAATCAGAATGCTGAAAGGCAGGGCCTCTCACTTCAGGAGAAAGTAGGAAGCAGCTCATTGCCATTGAAAGTAAGTATATACAAACACTCTGGGGCATTCTCTCTCTCTCTCTCTCTCTCTCTCTAACACACACACCAAAGAGGCACACACAATCAGTTGTACAAACTGTGGGGCATAGTCAACTTAATGTTGGAACAATTTAGTTTAAAACATTGGCAGTTGGTTTTCATTTTAGAGCAAAACTTCACATGTTTCTTGCTGAAGACAGTTTACCAGAATGCAATCATACTGTTGTGACAGCAACCATAAATTGTTCACTCCTGGTAAACTAGATCTGCTCCTTTATGTACCTTTCCTAGATATCTGATGGGATTTGCAAACCCAGTTTTTGTTCTCCCTGTGCAGTAAATCCCCTTCATTGCTCTGCTGCAGTACTACTTTAACTTTTGCCCAGGCGTCTGTAACAAGTGACTATAAAGTTTGGCTTTTATCATAACTCTGAAGCATTAAAACCTGTATCTTTCTTTCTCAGAGACTGTCATCCCCATCTACAAAAGCATCCAACAAGCCACCTATAAACAACTCTCCCTCATCTCCTGAACCACCACCAAAGGAGTCCACCCAGAAGGTAACTAACCACCTGATTGGTTCTTAATATATATATTGCTGGGGTGGGACACAAATAAGCTCAATGTTTGAATCTTGGCTTCCCATCCTTATAAGACATTATCCCAGATGTAAGATGATGCTGGTTGGTCATAGCCTCCTTTTAGGAAAGAAAGAAAAGGGACAATTACCAACCTGCTTTTCTTTATACATCTGGGGACTTTTATTTTGAGAATCAGGCTATACATCTGTTGAACAGAATTCAACAGCTGGTTAAAGTGCATAAAACTATGATAACAGTTGGACAGATGAATAAGAACAAGTTAAAGTAAGTTTAATAACAGAAGAATTCATTGAACTATGTTAAAGACTTGGTGGCTTAAAAAGGTCTGGCAACATACAGGCTTGTGGCTCAAACAATGGCTAGTAATATCCACTCTCTCAGTATTAACTGAAAATGTATGTATGAGGGGGGGAGGGAATTGGAAATCATCTTTGTACTGAACATTTCAAATCCCAAGTATTCAGCTGACTTCTCTCTATAGTTTCATGTAGATAGGTAGCTCCAGGAAGCATTGCAGGAAATTACAAGGGTGACTAAACCCATTATCCAATACTGTCTGGAGGCCAAAGCAGGAATCAGCCGGGTAGGTCCTAGTAGTTCCTGTGAAAATCCAGACTGTGTTTTCAGAACAGTACATGCAAAACAAGTAGTTTTTGTGCCCTACACTTAGAATATTTCTTACTGAGGTAACCAGTGCCCCCCCCTTTTTTTTGCCCTGGGTTTCAGCTGGCTCTGCTTGGGTGTTACGGCAGTACTCTTGCAATGTGATACTATTGCTTAGCATACCAAAGGGTGTTCTTCCCTTTTAAAATCTATGGACCAATCAGAATTTGACCTTTAATTTTTTTCTTATCTCTTCTATAGTGTCAGAAGTCGGGTCTGCAAATGGTCACTGGACAGCTGCCACAAACAATCTTGTCTTTTTCTGCACCTCCCAACTTGCAGCCCTTCTTCCTGAATGGCTTCCACAAAGGACTGCTGAATGCCAGAGTTCCTGACAAAACTGGCCAGTCCAGTGAGACAAAAAAGGTATTCTCAGTAGGTCCCAATATCACAAGATGAATCTCTTGTTCACTATCTACATGAAACCACTGGGTGAGATCATCTACCAGTTTGTGGTCCAGTATCATCAGTATGCTAATGATACTCAATTATACCTTTTGAGCCCAGGCTGTCCAAGTGAGGCTGTCGAGGTCTGGTCCTGGTGCCTGGAGGCTGTGTGGGTCTGGATAGGGAAGAACCCTCTCCAACTCAATCTTACCAAGACTGAGTGGCTGTGGCTGCTGGGACCATCTAGATCTGAGGATCTTCTATTTTTGCTTTTAGTGGAGTCGAATTTCCCCATCAAGAATAGTGCATAATCTTTTTGGACTCACGCTTCCTGCTTGAAAAGCAGGTGGCAGCTGTGACCAAGAAGGCCTTTGCACAGTTCTACCTGGTGTGCCAGTCGTGCCCCTTCCTGGATCGAGGGGCCCTTCAGACAATCACTCATGCCCTAATCACCTCATAGTTCGACAATTGCAATGCATTCTACATGAGGCTTCCCTTGAAGACTACTCAGAAGCTTCAACTGGTTGAGAATGCAGCAGCATGGGCCGTGATGGGGGTGCCTCAGTATGCCCACAAAACACCCCTGCTTCACAAACTGCACTAGTTACTAGTATGCTTCTGGGTGTGATTCAAGGTGCTGGTTATCACATATAAAGCCCTGCATGCCGTGAAGCCTGGTTATTTGAAGAACTGCCTGTCTCCTGTGATTTCTGTCCAGCCGGTAAGGACCAACAGTGGGCACGTGCTTGGTCCCCTTGATTAAATAATGTCATCTATTGCGACCTAGGAAGCATGCCTTCTGTGTCACAGTGCCTGTTCTCTGGAAAGAGGTCCCCCGAAATCTGGGTGGCTCCCACTTTGATGACATTCTGGAAGGCCTTAAAGATCTGGCTGTCTCCCAGGTTAGATGGACTCCCTTGCTGGATGTGTTTGCCATGTTTTGCTTGTATTTTCCATGATAGTGGCTGGATGCTCCATCTTGCTTGTTGTTTCTGTAGTATTTTTATTTTGGTTTTGTGGGGGAGGGGTTGTTTGCACTGTGAGCTGCCCAGAAACAGTGGGGAGTTGGACAGTGCCAAAATCAAATTAATTTGTGTGGGTGGGTGAATGAACAAATGACAGTATGGAGCAGGATTGAACAGGGGCTATAGGCCAGTTCTCAGGAAATAGGTGTAGTTTCATGCTGAAATGAAATTTAGTTGTTTCTATTGTTACGCACTATGCTAAATGGTGCCTTTCTAGGAGAAAAGCTTAACTTTCCTGGTTGAAATTCCATCTGGATTAGTGGATGGTATTCAACAGGATATCTGTATTCTGTATTTCTATATTCTTAAAACATTTTTAGAACACCCTTTCGACCTTGCCTTTGATTTTCCTTTTCACCAGTCTTCTCAATTTTGAGAAGTTCCCTTTTGAAGTCAAATATGGCTGTGTGGGACTTGCTGTCTATGTTATTACTTCTTTGAATGTTGAAGTATTCCCAATTGGTTTGGCTACATCTATTTCTGAAAGTCCTAAGCACCACTTAAGAGTAGGTCTAATATTGCTCCCTCCCTCATTAGTTCCATAACCAGCTGCTCCAGTGCACAATTACATACTGAAGCTAAGAATTTTACCTCTCTGTCATGATTTGAACACACATTCAATCCAGTCAACGTGTGGATAATTGAAATCTCCTATAATTACAAGACTTACTTTTCAGGTTGCTTTTTGATATCTCTCTCTATTGCCAGATCTCTTTGAGCATCTTGGTTAGGGGGTATTAACTTCCCTTTATGACCTGATGCTTCTACCCAGAGTATTCCATCAAATGATCTGCCCCATTGTGGATGCCAAGTTAATTTGATTCAGTGGTCTGTTTTGCATACAAGGCAATGCACCCTCCACTAGTCCCATCCCTGTCTTTCCTATAGGGTTTGTAACCAGCAATAACTATGTCCCACTGATGTACCCTAGTCCACCAGGTTTTAGTTATGCCTACCATATCTGTACTATCTTTTAAGGCATTCCAATTCACCCAATTTTGGCCCATAGGCTCTTAGCAGTCATATACAAACACTGGTATACAGCAGTATTCTTTTGATTCCTTTGTTTTTTGCCATATGCCCTTGTTTTATTTGGCCTTTTTGAATAGGCATCCTATAAGTATCTGGAAAACAGGCCTGCTGTCTTAAAGATGGGTGTATTTAGTTGTGCCTTAGGAAAGTAATCTACTTGAGGAATGGGTTCAATCTTACATCATTCTGATGGGTTGTGCATTTTGCAAAACAAATACAGATAATCCTTGAGCGGTGTGGTCGTTAAGTGAAGCATCACATGACTGCACCCAATTTTATGACATTTTTGCAGTGGTCGTTAAGTGAATCACTGTGGTCATTAAGTGAATCATATAGGCGTTAAGCTAATCATGCAGTCGTTAAGTGAATCATGTGGTTTCCCCATTGATTTTGCTTGTTGGAAACTGGCTGGGAAAGTCGCCAAGCGCCCAAATTTTGATCACATGACCCTGGGGATGCTGTGATAGCTGTAAGCGCAAGGACTAGTAGTAAGTCATTTTTTTCAGTGTGGTTGTAACTTTGAACGGTCGGTAAATTAATGGTCGTAAGTTGAGGACTACCTGTAGATGCTACTGTTGTGGTGCCTGATAGTGTGGATGTTAGGGTTTCTTCTGTTAGTTTTCTAATACTGAGAGAAATTCCATCTAGTGCTTAAGTAGTAAATTTGTCATATAAACTTTATTTAGGCAAGAGAGAATTATTTTTATACATAACAGAATACAGAGCTTCCTGGAATAAGGAAATTCATCCTGAATTGGATGAGGCATATATCTATGCCTCATGCCATATGCATTATCCAGATCATAGTATCATGAGGGCACTGTGTGATGTAATACGCTATCCTGTCCAGGAGATGGAAAAACTAAAAACTAGAGCAGCCAGACTACATCATCAAAAACTTTGTTGAAAATTAGCGTTGTGGTCGGTTTCAAAGACCTACAGCTGGCTATTACTTGTTTTTCCTTCACAGCTTCTCTCACAGCCAAGCTCTCCAGCTCCTCCTTCTCCTCCTCCACCTCATATGGACCTTGAACAGCAGAAGCAGAGCCCATCCTTCTTCAGTACTTTGCCACCACTGCCTCTCCCTGCCACTTCAGTGGTGATAAAAGAACCACCAGGCTATGAGGAGGCTGTGAAACAGCAACCAAAGTTCTCTGAGGTGAGAGTAACTGTCTTGCTGTGACAAATTAGGAAAGTACTTGGTGTGGATCTGTTCTTTTTGCAAATTATCCTGACATTTTTGGAACTGATATATGGGATTAGCTCACTGTGCCCCATTGAAAGTTACATTCTGCGAGATTTCATATGTACTCTTCATACCAGAAAGGTTATGGGTAATACTCTTGTTGGTTAACATATCATGTTCTATGGTATGTGGATTATTTGGCCACAGGGTGATCATTATAAAGTGTAAGTTGCTACATTGCTGTTGAATGTAGTATCTTAACAAACCTATTACCTTCTTTTTTTTAGGAGAATGGCTGCTCAAGTCAGCAAATGGATGATTTGTTTGATATTTTGATTGAACATGGAGGTATGAAGAGAGGAACTTCTGGTCTATCGTTCTTATGGATTCTATGGCTTCTACTGCATTTAGCCCAATAATTTAAAAGAATGTGCTTATCAGTTTATGTATCGAATCATAGAGGAAGGGTCATTTTCCCTTTTAGCACCAGTGGAAAGGCCATAAAATATCCTTGCATTCCCTTTGTGCAACCCCCCCCCCCCACTATTCTACCCCTTCCTCATTACCATGAGGCAGCCGGAGAAAGAAGAGTGCTGGTGCAGAATGAGGCAGTCTGCAAGTACTCAAGTGCTTATGAAACCAAGGCTTCCTGCACAATACTGCTGCTAACGGAAAGAAAAGGCCTGCCAGGGAAGGAAGGTTGTGAGGTGCAAACTTAACACAATCAGTGTGTGGAGCCTGCAGCAGCTGTTGAGATCACATTGGGTGTCACATTTTGAGGTTTGATTTCTAAGTCATGTGTGTGCCTGGAGGAAATAGATACCTGATGATTAGAGGCAATTAGCAGAAGCTTAAGTTTTCAGAAAAATGGCAAGTTTTGAGGTGGGTGGTGATGGCTTGGCCAAGCATAACAGGATAAAAAAGAATGAATGAACAAACGAAGAAATGATTGCTGGATGCATGAGATGAGAGAAAGCCTCACCTGCCACTGGTATAAAGCCACCACTATCTTCTGAAGGCGTTAAGGATGTGTGCAATTCCTGAAGTGCTGCAATAGTAGTAAGGAGTAATGGCTATATCATTAGTGCTAGAGTGCATGTAATAACTATTTTTAATGTCTTTTTTTCCAACAGAGATTTCAGCTCAATTCAAAGAGCAGTCTTCCCCAGCCAGAAAAGATCCCACTATTTCCCCAGGATGCACTTCTCCCTCCAGCAATCACCATTCCTCAGAGCTCCCTCTGCAGGTGTCTGTGAGCCACACAAGCTCTGTTAATCCACCAGGCAGATTGGAAGACTTCCTAGAGAGTACTACTGGTCTCTCTCTGTTGACAGCAGTCCCTGATGGAACTGAGCCCCTAATTGATCTCTACAGTGAGATGCTAAGCAGTTCAGCTATTCTGGACCACCCATCATCACCTATGGACACATCAGAATTGCACTTTGCCCCTGAGCCTACTGGGGGACCAGGTTTGGACTTGGCAGAACCCAACTTGGACAGCATGGATTGGTTGGAGCTGTCAGGTGGGCCAGTGATGAGCCTTACACCCCTCAGTACTGCAACCCCTAGCCTCTTCTCTACAGATTTCCTTGATGGACACGATTTGCAGCTGCACTGGGATTCTTGCTTATAACTTTTTGACCAAGCAGACTGAGGGAGTACAGGTGGGTGTAGGAGATGAGCAAGAACTTAAGTAAAAATTGCATCTAATGAACTTTCCTCCCTCTTCCCCCACCCCCACATCCATTTTGACCAGTTTTTGTAAAGTTAGAGCCAAGGGCAAGCACCCATAATGTCTTCTGAATGAAAATTCAATCTCAGGAAAGCTTCCACCTTTTCCAGTGGTTAGTTGAAATGTGGCTCTTTCCTCGAATGTTTAGTGATTGCATCAGAGTTGTATGAATAACTGCAAATATTTCAACATAAGCAGCTTGCAAGAGTTGGGAACAGCTCTAGGCAAAGAATCCAGAAAAAGTCATTGGCAAACACTGCTCCCTGCTGGAGTTGAGTCTACCTAGTTAGAAAGCATTAAAAAATGGAAAAAGTTAATTGGTCCATATTGTAAAGATTTTCACTTAAAATATGACTCATCTGGGAAAGGAAGTGGGGGATTAGGATGAATTCATACTGAAGGAGTTTACTATCAGTTCTGATGGTTACAATCTAGTTAAAAAAACCCTTTTTGTTGATAATGCTGTAGTATATGTGCTTACTGCGTAGTGAGAAAGCTAAATCCAAGTTATATACCAGAGCTTAGAGAACAGCTCTTGCTGTTTAGCCATTGTTCTGGATTGCCCCAGAGGGCCAATTACCTTGGTTCTGGTATCTTACCAGCCAGGATTTGCCATGAATCAGAGCAGTTGTACAAGGGATGATATTAGCAGCTTCCTGCAGTTCTTTTACAAATTATTCTAATGGTTCTGGCTATGGAACATAATTGCCTAGAGCTTGCTGTTTTGAAGAAATGGAGTTCTGAACTGACTGGTTGGCAACCTAACATCTGCAGTATTTGAGCTGCACTGCCCTGCTTTGCTCTCCCTAGAGAGTATACTATTCACAGATGTAACCCCTCCTCTCCATATTTTTTGCACACAAAGTGCAGCTTCCTCTGTACTGGCAACTGGGTTCATAGGGAAGTAGTCTCTGCTGTATATCGCTGCACATAAACGGTTGTGGTTGTATCTCTCCTTGGATAGCTTAGCTGATGTCAACTCTTCACAAGTTTCAATCAATAAGAACCTCAAAGAACATGCACATCAATTTCCTTCCAAAAAGGAGATCATTTGGGATGGAGATGCATGTGCTATTACACAGAGGAAATTTACGTAGCCATAATCCCTGCTACTGTGAAATGTGGTTGTAAATTCCAGTCTTTCCTCTTGAAACTTGGCTTTATTTTTTACCTAGTAAATTTGTACATAGCTCTGTAAAACCGTTTTAGAAGGCTGAAGAAATTGATTCACTCGTTAGAAGGTGATGCTTCCCTTTAGCTTCTCCTTTTTGTAAAACTGTTGCAGAGCAACCATTTTAGGGTGGAGGTTGGAATGGGACCTTGCCCTTAGACCACCAGTTGAACCTTTTTGCACACGCCACTCAAAATAAATATTATTAGTCAATCTCCCTTTCCATAGATAAGAATGTATAATTCATGGATCTGCTGGCATGGGCTTCCTCTCCACCAAGTAACGGAGACTTCTCTCATTTTATAGAATTCCAAAAACCCCTTTACTTCTGATTCTCTAACAGTTTATAGAGTCTATATAATCCTAATAACCCTTTATGATGAATAGCCTGATCTTGAAGAATTAGTTGCGATTATGTGACTAGCCAATGTCCTGGAATAGCTAACTGCAAGTGAAGCTGATTTCTGTAAAAATCTTTCTTCTGCAGGAATCAGATTGTTAGAATTGCTGAATGTAGTCATCTTTTATATTCTGCAGGACATGCAACTAATCATATAGATTAGTGACTAGTTTGCAAAGATAGCTAGTTTTTGGATTGTTTGGAATATAAAACTTGTATAACATAGATTAGGACCACATTAGTGGGAGGGAGCACTTAGTTCAGTATGAGCATCTTGCATCTTCCCTCATGCCGAGAATAGTAAACAAGCTTTGCATGTGTCTCGTTCACTGGCCAAGGGAGAGAAACTATCAAACAAGAGGACTTTTTCTCAAAAGGTGCTATGACTACAACTGCCTGTCTCTGAAAGAAGAACCCAATCACCATAATCAAATACAAAAATAAGGTGAAAAGCTTTGACAGAACACTACTAATGAACTTAAAATGCTTTGGGGACATTACTTATCATGGAAGGGGGAATTGGAATTCACATTAATGTCCATTTTTCTCCAGTGTATAAAGTAGTATCTGTCATTTATCCTCTCTAAATTCTCCTTTTACCCCATACAGTAAATAAGAATCTGCCTCTTAGTCTCAACATACGTATTTTTCTGCTGATAATCATACCAGTATAACATGTATTAGATCAGCATGCATATTTTCTTCCCTTATTCATCAATGAAAAGAATTAGCAACACAGGGAGGAGCCTTAAGCAGAGCTTTCGGATTTGACACAGAATGAACATGGAACTGGAAAAGGATATGGAATGAACAAATGTGGGGGAGGGGTAAAGAATGGATAGATCAAATTATTTTTTCATTTACAGATATCTGAAAAATCCATTTTATTAAAAAATTTGTGTTCTAGCATTTTTGTACATCTTATCTTTGGTCATGGCATCGTCAGTAACATATATCTGCCATGGTGAAAATACAGACAAAGGCGTTTAGCACATGAATAACAAAGAACTACTTCACGGTATTGCTATTGACACAAGTTAAATTTAGGTGGCAAGTTCCACTAACAACATTAGTCATACCTGTGTTTTATCTTACTTTTGAGTACTTTGCCTCTGTTCCCTCAAGTAGGAAGGAAAAGGGTGGAAAAAGCTGTGATTGTAAGAGCACTGTTTATGCAATAAGGAACACTGCATCTAGAAATATAATTCATCCTTTACTTGGTATGCAGTGTCTAGAGATATCAGTACAAAAGTGTCAATTCTTGCTCCTCTCAGTAAGACTAATACTCTGTAGTTCAGATGAACAACAAGAACAACAGGCTAATACATATAAAAGTTCACTCCCATTTAACCTGTCTTAGACAGTTACATTAATTTATAAGCCAAAAATGATACAATCTTGATTAATTTTCATTTTAATGGTTTGATTGTGCTCTCCACTAGTGCTCTTCATTTCCTGCACTTGGACTAGTATGGATACCACGAAGCAAAGAGTGTGCTTCTGCCCTGCAGTCTCTGCTCACGCCCTCAGGATAGAAGCTGCAGTTATCCCCCTGAGCCAGCTCAAGCCTGAATCCATTTCCCATTCTAAAGATACGTCAAAATATACATAAATTTCTGAATATAATATAGCTCTCTTGCAATAATAACTAAAAAAAATTGCTCTAGCTAAAATAACTAAGCCTGAATCACAGCTGAACAGAATGAAAAGGACAGACTGCTATTGCAACCATTTTTTTATTACACCCATGGCAGCCTCAATCACCAGACAGTCCTTTTAGGCACTTTATGGCAGTACCAAAGCCATTTGTGCATCCTAGCACCGAGAAAAAAACACCAAGCCCCACACTGTCATGTTCTTAGTTATTGTGAAGCGAGCTCATATTTCTGCATTGGGAAATAAAACCTTTTCCTCAAAGGAGACAAATTTCAGCCAAGCTCTTCCAGCATCACTCTGCTCTCTTGGACAGAAGAAATGTAACTGCTAGATGGCTACCTTAGGGGGTCCTCCTCTTTCTGGTTATGTCACTATTTTTCTATACATTTATGCGTCAGCAAAAGTGTTTGCTTTCCACAAGTACAGGGCCCAAGTGATACAAAGTCATATTTCTTTGCAACCATAAGGAAAGGTAACACTACTATACAACTTGGATCACTTGAAATGCTCCTCCTATTTGCTATTGAATGGAAAAGCTGTGGCCCTTTAGAAGTGCCAGCATTGCTCACCATTAGCTAGGCTGCTTGGGATTATATTCAGCACTACGCATGGACCACAGGTTCCTCAATCCTGTTCTGTAGCAAATTGCCACCAAATTTTAATAGTGATTAGTAGAAGTTTACTGGAGGGGGGCAAGTTACAGAAAGATGTACAACACACAAAGGGCTAAGAGACTGGCTGGGAGAAGAGAGGGATATATGCCAAACATTCATTTGCCATTCAAGGAGTCCAAACACTGACTCATAAAGGTGTCACCCATCTATGTCCCAGCTGAAGAGATGATGCTTCACAAGCATGTCCTGAACTCCTTCCTTCAGTGGTTTCTTCTCCTTCTCCTACATAAAGCAAGCAAAGAACTTATAAACATTCTACAATCATACTAATTCTTGCTAATAATACTTTCTCTGATGCAGGACCTTCAGACAGTTGGCCCCTAAGAAAGAAAGGATTTGAAGGCTAAGACAGAAAGACAAGGTCACATGCGCCTCATATCCTATGCAAGGCAAGGGATAGTAAGAGACAGTCTGTTTCTGATTTGTGCTAAGAAACCTAGGTACAGTTGCAGGATCACACACTCACCTCTCTTTTTGTAGGGAGCTCCCAGTCCTGAGAAAGGCTGAATGCAAATTTACTGAGGACCCTGTGATAGAACATACCCAGCAATTAGGATTTAAGCGTCTTCTATATACACTATAGTCAGTGGAATTAGATAGCATTGCTATAAACCCCAACCTCAAATAGTTCTGGTACAAATTCATACACTATAGCAACAGAATAAAGGAACTGTTATATAAACAGAAACTTAAAATTCAGTTTATGTTTGTGTCACTCACTGATCTATAAATCAGCCAAACATAATTTTCCCTACTAGTGTGTTGTGCAAACCAAGACAGTGTGATTAATTTATGGTTGTTAAACAATTGCTTGAGCTGTTGCAAATAACAGACATCTACTAGAAAATCCAGGTCTAATTTATCCACTCCTAGTCAGGACTGGCAACATTAGATAATACCTTATGCACAAGTACAACCAACATTTAAATATTACACAGGGAAGAAATATCTGATTTACACAAAAGAAGAAAATATATTTGTGTCAGTAATGTCTATATGTTTTATTAAATCAAGACAACCAAAGATTGAAGAAAAAAACAGTTCACAATAAGCTTCTGTACTGGAGACAAACATTCCAGCTAAAGTTGGAAAGCTTATATAGTCACCAACAGATGAAATTTTAAAAAATGAATATATAGAAGAGAGGCAGGATAAATGGCTTTAATTGTAAAAAGAACAAAGGAAAAGGTAATGCTGGAACACTCAGTACTCTAGAAAGTCAACATATTTTGTTCTAGTTTGTCCATACACAAGCCAACCTTTTTATTTACAATGTGTTTCTTGCCATATTTGCTATCTCTATAGTGGAGGTGGTCAATATGCAGCCTTGATCCTCTAATCAAAACTACCAATCAATCAACCTCTGTTGTTCACTGCAGATGCTCAGAGTAGTTCCCTCTTAATTTTGGCTTTCCATTAACTAGTTTGACTTGCTCAACCCTACATACACATAATTTGTTCTTTCCATTTCCTCACTTGGTGTTTGATGGCCAGTAGTAAAGTGAACCCTAGTATGCTGGGAAAGTGGTCTTGATGACATAACAATGCACCACATTACCTTTACATATAAGGGCTAATTCTCAGAGTCTAATACTGAGATATTTAAAAAATTTCCTTCCTTCACTGCGTCACACAGGTATGAATTCTTTTAGGTAAGTGCAGTTTCCAGACAACACATTCTGGCAGTACCGTAATATGGAAGGTAGAAAGAACATTCCACTTACCTGAGCTCACACTTGATCTGTACCCAGCCAGGACTACGCAGAAATGACCAGGGATGGAACCATTTTTCCACTGTCTGCAGGCTAGAGCACAATACCTCAAGCCACAGATGCAGCACCTGCTCGCTGAAAATCAAATTACAGAAAAGGTTACAAACCATAGAAGTATGCCATCACATTAGGCAATCCAGGAAAAATGTGAATAAAAGAAATACTGTTCTAATTAGCATGCAGAGCTTGGGGGTATCCATCATCAGCCAGCTATGAAGTTCAGGAACCCTAAGGAGGGAACTAGCAAGGTAGCGGGTGAGGGGGCGGAGTACACCAGAAAAACTCCCAACTTGTCCCTGGTACCTTTTTGTAAAGAACTTCACATCTGGCCACGTGGAACAGGGCTTCTAGACATCATAAGAGTCTTGGGCATATCAATGTCACCCTCCTCCTCTGCCTCATGATTGGTATGCCATCCAAAACCCGGCAAGACAGATTTCAGATGTAAGCAACCCTTCAACCTCACCCAGCCAAGTCTTGGTGATACCTGGCAGGTCAGCTTTCTCGTCTCCTCTACCACTTTATGGAGGGGCAGGTCTTATTGCAAACAGACTAGCATTCTGCAGAACCAGCCTGAGTTCATTTAGCATGCTTAAAGACGTAAACCAGTAAATTACTGTAGAGGGTAGAAAGAATGACCTTGAGGGACAAGAGGAAGAGCTGCTACCAAGGCAATGGTCAGATAAGGGGCCTGAATCCGGGGCAAGAATGTAACATGAGGAAACACCTCAGACAAGCCCCTCCTAGTTCACACAAAGATAAAGCGTAGGAGGGGGAAGTGTATTCAGACTTGCAAGACTGTTACTATAGTTTTACAATAAAAGTAGTACTGATCTGCATGGCATTGGTTTCCTAGTCTGATCTACCTTGAAGGGCTGACAATTTCACCCTGAACTGCTATTCCATGGCTTTTTCGATAAAATGCAATCCAAAGCTATTATTTCCTATTCTCTGCTAATAAATGCAAGATTGAAACAGAATTGTATGACTCACTTCAATCCAATACAGATGAGAGACCGAAGCTTTACATCCATCTGAGCATGTGCTGCATCATGTGACATATTCACAGACTGTACTGCCTACCAGGAAAAAATGAAGATATGTGGGTAAACCTCCTCCCTCTGGAACCAGAAAATACTAAAATTTCATGTCCTCAATTTTGGGCCTCTGGAGGCAACTGGGATGATTAGGTCTTAAAATGACATCAGCTGACACTGACAATTCACATGGTTTTTCACAGACTCACAAGAAAACATATTTAGCATTCATACAAGCCTCCTTAAGGTTTCTTCTGTGCCTGTTTTAGAGACCAAACTGTATACTCACTCGATAAAGAAGTTCTTCTGGAGTAAGCACTTTTCCATCTTCATCTAACCTAAAACAGTAAAGTAACATCCATTATATATCAACTAAGCCAAAGCAAGAGATCCAGTGCCATTTCTATCATGAAACCAATAGCACCTCTTGTTAAATAGAGTCACAGTAGTCCTTACAGTTTCCATCATACATGACTGCTGCTGCCAGACACTGCTAGAAATTATCTTCTGATGTGGGTAGGAGACAAAATAGAGGATTAAAAAGCATAGCCATTCTGTACCACAAAAAAAATCTGAAATCCATAACTCGGACCATGATGGTTTTTCATATGCCTTAAATATGTTATTTTTGATGTCCAATGCTGAAGTCTGCCTCTAGAGAAAGATGATTTTATACAATCTAAAAAAGAATTTCACAGATTGAGGATGCAGTCCCATTCACTGGCAACTTACAGGCAACCTTCAACACTCTGAAATAGCATTAACAA